TATATTTCTATATGTAATTTTATTTCTTGTAAAAAAGTATTTAAAGAAATATACACTATATATATTACAGTGGAAATGTTATTTAATTATTCAAAGTGCGAATGTTGTACAACTAAAAGGAATGATGTTAATATAACGTTGTATAAGTTATTACCTGCTAATCTGTGTAGTAAAATAAGTGAATATGATGTATATTGTAATCAATGCTGTATAACAAGAGACCTTGAAAAGTTTTTTGTTGAAGAACATAAGGATAAGGGATATACAAAGTTTCAATTACAATTGAAATTCTTTATGAGATATCAAAAACGATTTCCTGTATTTTTTTACCATATAATTGCTAGAAAGTCATTTGAAAAAGAAATTGATGAGTTCTTTAATAATAAAGATTTAATTAAGAGGTTTGGAGGGGCAAACGCAATTAAACCATATAAAGCATTTGTTAAAAAATTTCGAGACATGATTGAAGCGTTTGATTGGCATTTATTAAATAAAGATAAAATAAACGAGGTCTTGAATGAATTTACAATAACTAAATATCATGTATGGTCTTACTACAACACTAAATATCAAGTATGGCTACTAGTTAATTTGTTTTTCTGGGAAAATATTTATTCAATAATAGGAGAAGACAATATCAAATATATAGACATTGGTGATATTGATAAATATGTAGATTACATATTTGAAGACATGTTTCCTGACTATAAGTGTAACCCATAATTCTTAATCATACTATAATAATAACATTTATACCCTTATATGTTATAATTATAATGTAAGTATAGCGTTTTATATATTGAAGATAAAATCCTACAAGGAGGACCACGCCTATTAAAAATATATGATAAAAGTGATGAAACGAAGGAGGTGAGTGATGTTGTTGCTGTTCTATTTTTTGTCCGAGAAATGGACAAATCGTTTTTAGACAGTTCGAATATTTTTTTGATGACAAATATTTTTTGCAATATATTTTGCAAAATTTATTTTTTTTTGAAATGGATGAGGCGAGGAGATTGATGAAATGATATTTTGAAGGGTAGTTGGTGAAATGAATGAGGCGAGGAGGAAGGAGAAAAGGATGGCGAAATTTTTTGAAAAATGATGATAAAAAACGGATGAGATGGACAGAAAGGAATGTAGAAAAATGATGAAAACAAATAAGGGTAGAAGATGGAAGATGGAAAAAGTTGTAGGGGGGGTGTACGTATGAAGCAATTTATTTGCTAGGCGTGGCCCACCACTA